GGAGCTAGAATATACTTTGTTCCCATGAAGGGAAATTACAGTTCAGAACCCATTCAAGAGATATAGACAAACTTGGAGAACAGGTTCTCTGGGTTAAATCTGTTAATAAGATTTAGGCATTTTTCCCTTGCTTCTGTGTCTGATTCTAAATTAACTATTAATGAGTTTATCTCAGTAAAATAGACAAACTCATTACTCCTAATTCAAAGTTATAAAGAATAGTGTTTAAAATACTCTGTCAATTCTTGGAATTCACCTTTAACAAAATAATTATGACCAGAATATGAATTTAGGAAGTCTAACATCTGCTATTTTTTAAATATTTTTTTACAACATAAGAGTATGGTTATTATTCTATTGTATCTAATTCCTAAAATGTGTTTACATTAAACTATTATTAAAAAATGTTTACAAATTGTAAGTTTTGTCAGCAAAGAACCCAGAATTTAGACAGACTCAAAAAGATCAAAAAATGGGAATAACCAAAGCTGGCATGGAAGCAAACTATTTACAACAAAATAAACTCAGGAGGACATGAAAGAAAAGACATAAGAGAACGCTGAGCGGAGGAGAGGAGGCAGAGAACCAAATATAAAGCTGATGAGAATATGGAAACAGCTGGGCTGAGAGTGGCAACAGGTGAGGATGACTGACAGGAAAACTAAAGAGGCAGGCTGAGAGTGAATGAAGGCAACACAGAGAGCAAGCACAAGAGGGAGACAGAACACGAGACACAGATCCTCACGCAAATGTGACAATTTAAGTTAGTATTTTTTACTTTTCAGGTGTCCTTTGAGTTGGGAAACCACAGTAATCATGGTGAACAGATGCAAATAAGATCTGAAGGTGAACTTGTGACCACATCACCAGTAAGTGCTGTAAAGTATATTTTACTAATAACATCTACACAAAGCAGATTATTTTTTAGATCTCATAGAACTTATTAAAAATATAATCTAATTCTACCAATTAACCAGTGTCAGCGATGTCATTTATTTGACATAGCTGACACGTGTTTTTCAAGAGAAATCCACAAGGTCTTGTATCGCAATCCAACAAACCAAACTGGATTCAAGTTGTGCACCTGCTTTAAAAATTACTCATGTAGGTGTGTTTTACCAATAAGTAACTTTTTATTTGTTACACATTTTATCTTCTAAAACACATCTATACCTGCAGATCTACAATTGTCTGAATGAATGAACCAGTGAAAACAAAATAAACTAACCATACAGACCATACAATTCTTAGTTTGTCCACTTTTTACAGTCCTTACAAACACAGTTATTGAGTTGTGCCTGCACACGTGCACTGAGCAAATGCTGTAGCTCTGAAAAACCATGAAACTACAAATATCTAATAGTAAAACAACTCAAATATAAAAATATAGACTGATATAGTTCTAAACAGCCAAATGAAAATATCTGGCTTTGTTTTCTAAAGGCTGGGAGACAGAAAGATATACTGCTGTAGATTCTCAGTGATCCAGGACATGGGAAATTACAAAATAAGTAATACATAAAAATCATAATTTAAACTGCATAAACCTCTTAAATAACCCTGCTTAGACTGGCAGCTTTGCCTCTTTTATTTTCTTCTTTCCACTGTGACAAATGATATTGATTAAAACTATACTAACAATGAGCTGTAATCGAGGTTTAAACTCTTGTCGTCGTTCAAGTAATAACAAACACCAAAGCTAACTCTGAACCGCTTGGAATGACATCTTCACTCACGGTACTGACATTTTTCAATTTGTTGTCATGTTTTGCTACTGTTAAAGTTTTTAATACTGAGTCATTCTGCTATGCCAAACCACAACCGTTTGCTTTAAATTGTAAAATACCATTAAATGTTTTATTGACAAGTTCATGAGCCAGCAAACGAGGACTTCCCAAGGAGTTGGATCATCCAGGCAGATGAGACACCAGCTGGTGAATAAAATTGTGGTACTTCTAAATATTTTTATGTATCTCCTAATGTTAAGAATAGCACCTAAATAATTTAATAATTTAGATTTTGTTGTATAAAACATATTTTTTAGACTTTTACCGCATTTTTAACAAACACCACCTTTTAACTCTTCTGATTTTCAAGGACTGGATGAGGCAAAGCCAGCATCATCAGTACATTATAATAAAAAGCGTCCTGGAAATAAAGCTGGGAGCCATGCATGCCCATGGTGTAGAACTGAGTGATTATGAACCAGATGTCTACGCTGAAGAAGGAGACATGGAACACAACTATGAACTTGATGACATTTCTATTACTGAACTTTCCTTTGACCCAGACTTAAACCTGGATTCTAGGTTTTTTCCTCTGGCTTCAGTTTGTTTGCCTGGTAAAATCCCTGCCCAGAGTGCAAAGAATTAATACACCAACTCAGTTAAACATGCTGCAGAAATGTAACTCATCACATCGAACTGAGGATTAGTTTGCAAGGTTGTGTGGTGAGATACATAGAACGTTGGTTAAAAACTTTATGATAATTGGATATTGTCAAAATATGATGAATACCTATGAGTCCCCTGAAGGAAATATCTGATATAATCATAAAGAATGTTTTGAAGCACTTTTCTGATCAGTTTCAACAACTATATGGTTCTGTTGTACTTCCCCTGCACATTGGCAAAGTTATTTTTAATACCAGCAGGGAAATCCTGATATCCAAGTATGGTTTGCGGTTTCCTCTTTCAAATGACATCAACAAATCCTCATTAGAATATGCAAAAAATAGGATTCAGACCCATTTTTCAACTCAAATCTCTGGAACCACTTATGATATCAGGATGATCTTGAGATAAAATGTTGCTTCAAAAGCCAAGAATGTGAAAATGTGCTCTGTTTAATATGACCTAATCACTTAATCCCTGATCTGATGTGACGTCACAACCTTGAGTAGCAGCAAGATTACATTTCTTGTACATATTTTTATTTATTTATTTTTGCTTTTATAAAATTTTGCAAGTTGTTTTTATTGTTTAGAAGTTTGCATTTGTTAAGGCCCTGTCACACTAGACAACTTGTGCCAACTTACAAACATTTTAAAGACATCTACATTGAAGACAGAATTGAAAAAATCAGCAGGAAGCTTCTTTTCTGTGTGCATAATGTAATTCTCACAAATTGATCAAATATATAACTTTTATTAGCAATTTAGACATAAAAATGATTTACAAGTTAGCATAAGTTGTGTAGTGTGACAGGGCCTTTACATAATAAAATAGAGCTTACTGTGTGTTGAATTACAAATAGATAAATAATAAATAAATAATAAATACTCACCCTGTAGCTTCTGTGTCTATTGTTTACTTGGGTAAATCTGAACTACTATTCAAAAATTGTACTGGGAATATGTTCAATGTCTTCACAATCAGGTCCGATTATTTCACTTGTATCTGAAAAACAAGACCGCAAAGAAGACACAAGTCAAAAATACTACATTTCATCCCAATTTTTTGCAACACAACAAACAAAACCAATAATCTTAGAAGATGATCAAAACCTACTGAACCAAAATCCTACTGGAAGCAAAGTTATCAGTGTGAGAGACAACAAGTATTGACTCTAAGTCTAAACACAAAAAAAAAATGAAAAGGAAACATAAATCTTGGTGTCCAAAGATGATATTTACAAAGGCAGGCAGTGTTGTCTGTTGTAAAATGCACCTCTCAAGACTGAGTCTGAAGCAAGCTTGTTCCTTCTTGGGCGGCCCCTTGTTCAGGTTCATTTGAGGGCCCACTGCTTCCCCTGCCGCGCTGCCCTCTGGTGGGGTGTGCCTTTGCCCACCGGTGGCTCTTGATGTCTGGGGCACACACCGACAGACAGATAGATGTGTGCGCGTGTGTGTGTGTGTGTGTGTGTGTGTGTGTGTGTGTGTGTGTGTGTGTGTGTGTGTGTGCAAAGCACTACTTTATTATGTAAAAGAATTATAAAGGCTAATATTTGCATGTCTAGGGAAAAAACATAAAATATATAAAACGGGTTTTTTAATATTACCACTGCTAGTACTATTTTTGACTTGTGTGTAATTTTGCATTATATTTTTATTTGTAAATACCTGTAAAAGTAACCTAAATGTATTGCGTATATATTACTTTACCTATCAAAATAAAGTAATTATAAAAGTATGCAGTTTTACATATCTCACCTTTACAACAAAAAAATCTGTTGGAAAATTCGATCAAAATCAACCATGTTATGGTTATTTAAATAGTAAATACACCACACACCTTCATGTTAAGAGTGGGCGAGCTCCCTGACCCAAGATGGCCGCCGAGTGAGGACATCAGTCTTCACTGGCCAACAGCGGGTACGACTTATCAAGCCTTTATATATAGATCTATGGGTGTGTGTGCTCTGTGATGAGAAAGCTTGGAGAGACACAGCCCAGAGGAGGAGCTGATCCCAAAAGACCGAACCGGTCATCTTTGCTCCCCTGCCTGCTGCCTCAGGACACTACAGGATTTCTCAAACAGGCATGAATGAGTCAAAGCAAGACTTTGGGCATGTTTTGATGAAAGGATAACATTACAACATGACATAAAACTCAAAAAAGTTTATTTTACATGATATCGCCCCTTTAAAGCTTGGGATGTCATTGATTGAATCAACGATTGAAGATCTGACACTAAAAGTTTTTTTTTCTCAATACATGTGTCGGAGCTTCAAACAGCTCATCACTAAAAAAAGGAATTCCATTAGGTTTGTAGTATTTGTGTACTTAAAAGTACCATAAACTGTCTGACCTGTCAAATCAAAAATATAAAATGTAATTAAAACAGTGCTGATTGTTTTGAAACTTGAGGCATTTTAAGAAAATCATCCATGATCATTAAATGCGGCCCTGTATGGTTTGTTTGAACAACAGATACTAACATTCACAGATATATCCTTGGAATATCTGATTATCAACCTCTGTTAAGCTGTTGTAAACAATATTATTTAAGGATAAAAACTACAGATAAATACGGATATTCACAAATAAAGAAAAACAAAAATGTTTCTGTTTGCACGTTTATTTTACATTTAAATACATTCAAAATTAACCTGTGTTAATCCTATGAATGAATGTTTTCTACCACCTAACAGGTTTGTCTTCTGAAGTACATTGGAGGTGCCCATCGTACAACTCTCTAAGATGGAGGATGAGCTCCTCTGTGTTTTGTCCTGTGAGGGCAGATAAAGCAATGATCCTCTGGGTGACGCGGCTCTTTAGAGCCAACAGGTTTTCCTGGGCCTCAGGAAGGTCCACCTTGTTGGCTACAATGACCTGAGGCCGCTGGGACAGGCTGGGCTCATACTGGTCCAGTTCATAGCACAGGTGTTGGAACTGAGCCCAGGGCTCTGGTACCGACAGGTCCAGAACAAAGAGGAGGAAACGACAGCGCTCTATGTGACGCAAGAAGGAAAGACCCAAGCCTCGATTTAAATGGGCTCCTCTGATGATGCCTGGAATGTCAGCAACTGTGCAAAACAAATGTAGAAAAACAAATTACACCCAAGTAAATCCTATAATAAACTGATGCTTTTCTTCAAGCCAACTACCTGCAACCTGCTCATAGTCTCTGTACTCAACGATCCCAACATGTGGATTGAGAGTTGTAAAAGGATAAGCAGCTACAGCAGGCCTGGCATTGGAGATGGCTCTCAACAGGGAGGATTTCCCCGCATTAGGAAAACCAACCTGAAGACGTACAAGCACACAGATCAATACGACTCGAACAGTACATTTCCCAAAAGCCTGTTTAAAAATACGGCCTTCCTCTCACCAGTCCAGCATGGGCCATTGTGCGTAACTCCAAATGTAGGACCCGCTCCTGGCCTGGCATACCTGGGGTCGCCGTCATTGGGGCGCGGTTCTCGTTTGATAGAAAGAACCGGTTTCCCTTTCCCCCCAGTCCCCCAAATGCTGCGACATACTCCTGACCGTGCTCAGAAAGGTCAATTATGGTTACCCCCTGCTCCTTCACTATCGTTCCTAATGGCACCTAAACAAATGGATATCACAGGAGAAGACAGAAACAAGAGAAAACAAAGTGAAGTGTTGCTGATCACTTTTAATTTTACAGATACTGAGGAGGTGGTAGCAGATAGTCATTCACAACACATACTCTGATTTTGACATATAATATTGAAAAGATTGCAATGTAGACTAGACCTTTAATTCTTGATGAAGAATTGAAACATCTGGACTTACAGAAATATAGGTTGCGTGGCCATTCCGACCATAGCAGTTCTTGGTGCCACCCGGCTCCCCGTTCTGTCCTCTGCAAATTTGCGGCACTTTTGCCAAGGATTTCACAAACCGGTCAGCTGAAAGCCAAAAATGAAAAAAAAAAAAGAACAAGAACCTGAAGTGTGTTGAAAAAAGCTCTGTAAATTACTGTTCTGTAGACAAAGTCAATTATCTGTAAAGGTAATGACTGAAACTGCACTCCTTCTGTGAGGTGGTTAGTTTGGAACAATAAAACATGTCCACTTGTTCTCACACATCAAATGACTCATGCCAAACTCACTGTTTTGTCAGGTAAACTGTAGAATAGACATTGTTGTAACTAGTGATGGCCAAATGTAACTTTTCTGAAGCAGTGAAGCTTGTTTAAAAGAAACAGTTTGTTACTCAAAGCTTTTCAGCAGTTTATTTGGCACCATCTTGTGGCCAAAAGAATGAAGAGCAGCTTGAAACAACAAAAAAGCCGATGACGGAGATGACAGCTGTTTTTTAATATTACACTATATTTCTGTCTGATATCAGGTTGTCATTGTGTTGCTTTAAACAGGTATTTTGTGGGTGAAAGAATAAAGTTATGATTAATTGATAAACAAATAATTTCGATGAATAAGCTTTAAAAGTGAGCCATAGGGTATGTTTACTTTAACATCATATACCTTACAAACATGTAGTGTTTTACTTTTCCTGGGATAAAAGTGCTTATAATTAATAATTATTTAATTTACCTTTGGGATCAATAAAGTATTTTTGAATCAATTTTGAATAAACTAGTAAACTAAACGCATAACTCTGTCTGGCTCTATGTCTCGCTTTAAGTAGCTTGCTGGTTTGTTATATTTTGCACAAATTTGCCATCAAAACACCCCACAAATAAAGCAGATGATTCACTTCCTCATAAATCTTTGAATCAGGTACCAAAGCAGTGATGTAACTTCGGCACCTTCGATGCCTCATACATCATTGATCGTGTGACTTTTGCCAACTGGATCGAACTCTGACAGTGCTTCTGAAACAGTGTGTTGTCTTTTTAATACATGCACAGGAGCTTCAGCTTCAAACGCCCATCACTGGCTGTGAACAACTCACCCTTTAAAATGATGCTTCCTCCGTCACCTCCATTCCCTCCATCCGGACCGGCCCATTCTTTTAGGTGCTGACTCAGAAAACAGCAGGCACCTTTACCACCAGAACCAGCCTCCAGCTTCACACGGCAATAGTCCACAAAGTGACGAGTCTGTAATTTAAAAGTGACTTGATGTGAAAGCAAACACTGAAAATATTTGTAATTTCCCACTCCAAGTACAATAAGTAAGTAATCACAGTGGGATCCTAAAAGTGCAAATTCTCTGGTTTTGTGTGAGTTTATTTCAAAATGCAGCTTTCACTTCAAATGTTCTCAGAACATATATATATATATATATGTGTGTGTGTGTGTGTGTGTGTG